ATTACATAGTGTGTGCGATTTCAACCCGCAACACCCTCCAAATTCGGAACTCATCGACTGAGGTTCAGGAACAAAAATATTCAGATTTTCAAGGCCTACTTTTGTTTGTTGAAGGGGTCAAAAACCAAAAACCACTATTAGGCAATTTTTTTCCGAAATAGTGACTTTCCTTATCGATTCAAGCATAACTGAAAAACCTCCATACGAAATTTATTTCATCGCTGTAACTAGTGAAGATCTCTCTAGATCAGTCAAAAATCAATAAAACTAAAGTTGAGACTCATCATTCTAAAAACTCAAGTAAACTGTATTTCACACTCTACACCAAACAGTCACTTTGAAAATTGTCTTCTTTGATAAAGAGCTGTCGAATATAGCACAAATAAAATGACAGACAAATACTCTCTAAAGACTGCTAGGAGATATACTGATGTTCAATGTGATCATAAAAATACACCGATTTTGGCGAAATGGAATGAACATTTGAGATGACAATGAAGATGATTCCAAATCGTCTACCCAACACGTCCCATACATGTTCGATTGGATTAAGGTCTGGCGAACATGCAGGCCAATCGATTGCTCTTATACCGACTGTATTTAAAAAGTTGGAGACTGAACGAGCCACGTGAGGGCGGGCATTATCGTGCATTAACAAGAAGTTTTCTCCGATATGGGGGGCGAATGGTATGGCATGCTGTTGAAGAACATCTCGTATACAGCCATCTGCATTTAAAGCGCCATTAACCATGACTGAACCTCCGCCATAGGAGACAGTAGCAGTAAAATTAAATTTTTAATTTTGTTCTCCTCGGAGGCGATATAGTCTTTTCCTGCCATCTATTGAATTGATGCAGAAGCGGCTCTCATCTGTGAAAAGAACGTTGGCCCACTGGTCATTATCCCAATTTATATGCTGCCTAGCGAAGCTGAGTCTTGCCACCCGATGACGTCACTGGAGTTGTGGAGCTTTCTTCTTTCTATAAGCCCTCAGACCAACTTCTTTAGGTCTTCTGCTGATAGTCCGATGACTTATTCGTCTTCCACGTACTTCTTCCAGTTCGTTTCTCAATTGGGGTACGGTTGTACGTCTGTTTCGTAGTGTTTGGGAGACTAAAAATCGGTCATCTCTAGCCGTGGTTGATCGTTTTCTTCCTTGGCCTTGTCTCCTCACGTACTCTCCTGTTTGTCTCCAACGTCTCACATTCCGATAAATCGTAGATTTTGATTTTTCCAGCATTCCAGCAACATCAGTGTACGATCTACCATTCTCAATTAATGCTACAGCCTTCGCCACATCAGTAATCAAATTTATGAATTTGTAATTGTGAATCGCTTGACTTTGACAATAATCAATGACATAAACAAAATAGCCAACGTTGATCAACAAAACTAGCATTCTACCAAGAGAACATTGAAGCAACTTTTATCACCCCTGCATATTCATGAGAGTATTCGTATATTATGTGTCTTCAAACAGTAAACCGATAGGTAACACTGTGAACAATTTCCATCTTGAAGTAAAAATCCTCACAGAAACAAGTTCGAGTTTCGAGGTGGTAAAATTAATACCAATATCCACCTTTTCTTTGGAACTCTGTATTTTCTTGAATAATTGAGATATCAAAATGAATAAAAAATGAAAATATTCGAAATAGATTGAGCTACAATTTGATGTTGAGAAACCGTTTCAATTATCAATGGTTCACTCCACAGGATGTCTAAAAAAATTACGAAAAATCCGTACTTTCTTGACACCCCTGTATATGATATAAAGACGATTCGTTTGAGGGGGGTTATTTCTCAGATGTATTCGTGAAGAATGAAGCTACAATTCGTGAAAAAAAAATTCAAATCGAGCAATGGGTTCGAGAGAAAATTGATGTCAAACTTAGTGAAAATTTTGCCCGTTCTCCTAATTGTGCCAGTGTGTGTATATCGGAAGGATATAATTCAATGTTCTGCGTGGCATATTGTCAGGAAAGTAGAGAGTTGTTTTTCTCTCGTTATCTAGCATTTTCCTCGGCATTTTCGTTTATTTTATGAACTAATGTGACCATTTCATGCCATTTTGAGTGTTTCGCTTTTTCCTTGTTGGAAGTTCAGAACAGTTTTGTCGAAGTTACAATAAGAAGAAATCAAAAAATATCCAGAACTAAAAGTTGTAACAAAACGTTCGAATTGGAAACAAATTTGTGGAACTAGAATAGAAACCACTTTTCTCAGCAATTTTTATTTTTAAATTCGAACAAATAAGCCTATTTTCAGAGATTAATTTGAAAAAATGTATCTTTTGACATGTAGCAAAAGTCACGTGATTTCGACCAAGTAGGCCATTTTCCATCTTTTCTATAGCAAAACCCAACGCCCAAGTCGAATTTCAGAATAAATTTATCAAAAGTTTTCCTCATATGATGCCAACTCAATGAATGACACTGTAGAAGCGACATCTCAATCCGAAAAGTTTGTTTTCACCTATTAATTAACATTTTTGACTTGTTTTCGGCCACCACATCTTCCATCAAGCGATATCCCATGTTTTTTAATCACCTTGTAGCTCTACATCCAGGCTATCAGGAATTGCTGCTGACGAAACACCGAAAGTTGAACTCGATCAAATTAAAATGCGAGTCGCGTTGAACTTTCCAACAATACCCATTAAATTTCTGGAAACCCTATTAGTTGGGTACCTACCTACTATTTAAATCATCGTAGAGAGGAAGGAACAACTCGGTTAAGAAACTAAGCCAATACAAATTTAAATTCGAATTTTAATTTGTTGGGAAACAAGATTTTCTAAACGCTTTCCTAGATAATATCCATTGTTCTATGAAAATCACTTACTCTCTCATCTGGAATCAAGCTCTAGTTATACCCACCTGAAATATTTAAGGCGTTTTTATGCAAATGTATTTCTCAAAAGAGAGTCCAATGGTCCTGATGGAATTCCACACATCATTCCTGGAAAGTGTGCCCCAGAATTGCCACCAATTCAAATAGCTAGAGTCCAACTAATCCCAAAGCAGAAAACAACATCATTCCCAACAGTTATAGGCCGATTGTCCTGTTATCAGTCACCTCCAAAGTGATGCAGAAAGCCATCAACATATATAGAGCTCATCAAATATCTGGTAAGAGGAATCATTAATGATAGACAATATGGCGTTCACCACCGAAGATAAACTGGAGATTCACTTGCCTACGTCACCCGTGTATGACAAGCTTCATAAGAAAACCATGGAGAATTTCTAAGCATTCGACCGTGTTTGGCACCAAGGACTGCTCCACAAACTATCATCATACGGTTCACCACCTCAGCTATGCCATCTTCCATCGATTCTTCTTCCAGGCAGATCGCTCCATGTGGTGATGGACGGAGTATCGTCTGGTACCATTGCCATCAATTCCGGCGTTCCACAAGGATCAATTTTGACACCAACATTGTTCCTACTTCACATCGACGCGGACATGATAATTCCAACATGTATCAAAACTCACTTTTGATCTTCTGAGTTGGCGAAACACGTCTCGAGGCGTAAAGAATCAGTTGTTCCATTTGAAAAAATCATCGCGGATGTCATGAATCATACGTGGATCAACCTGTATATTCAATTTGCCCTCACACGTGGAAAAATGAGAATAAAATTCGACCTGTTTCAGTAGATGCCTCGGGAATGGATGGTTTGGCTAAAAATGAAACCCTATTTCTACTCCATATCAACGATTTGTTGGAAGCAACTTCATGTCCAGTACACAGCTTCGCGGATGATAGTACCCTCCATACCGCCTTCTCTTCCAGGGCTCCAATACCAGCCAGACAAATCAGAAACGAATGAGGGAGAAATGTTGACAACATATAAATATGGACTTGACAACAATTCTCGAATGGGGATTTAAAAACTTGGTAGATTTCAATGCAAACAAAACACAAGCTTGCCTTTTCTCCAGAAAAGCCGATCTCACTGTGCCCAACATGAGCCTGTCAGAAGTAGCCATACCTTTGAAGACATCCATTTCGATACTTGGTATTACTATCAGCAATAACCTTTCTTGGGAAAATCACGTGAGATCAATAGCTAAAAGTGCATCCCAAAAACTTGGTTTTCTGTTTCGAGTCAGGAGCTATTTTACTTTCAGTCAGCTGCTTATGATCTACAAGGCACAGATTCGACCTGTCCTGGAATACTGTTTCCATATCCGGGGTGCAGCTCCCAAACATACCCTGAAACTGTTGGATACTGTCCAAAAAAGAGCAATTCGTCTCGTGGGTGATGCCTCGCTCACAAACTCACTCACTTCTCTGGAACACCGTAGAAAAGTTGGCGACCTGGCTCTATTTTATAGATATTTTCATGGACAATGCTCTCCTGAAATGTCAACAATTGTTCCTTCTTTGGCAGTCCCCGCGAGATTAACCCATCGAGTTGAGGTTCGCATCCCTTCGTGGTCACTTTGGAGACCTACAGAACATCTCTTTCCAAAGACCCGTTCCCGAGACATATAACCTTCAGAAATGTAAGAAGAACACCAATTCCTACCTTATTTCCCTTGGTTCTCACGATGTTCCCTGAACATTACAGGATATCCCTTTTCGTGGGAACCAGAACATAAAAAAAAGAATTGTATACATTTCTGTTGAATTGAGAAATCCCAACATTTGTATAGATATATAGGTACCAAGCTTCAGAATGCCATACCTCACAGCTATGATGGTCTAAACTTAGAAAAAAAATCCGTGATGTATTATTGATGATACCTCCTACATTGCTCATATACAGTTGAGGAGTTTCGCTCTTGCATACGCCCTTCTGCTTCTGTACATGTGAAATGAATTCTTTTTCTATCCATATCTAATTTGAATCGAATGAAGTACTGATTTCATTTGTGACGATTATAGAATTCTGGCAATTTTGTATGAACGAATATCTATCTATCTTCCTTTCTTGCGGCCCAGCTGAAGAAAATAATCTATAGTCGGTTAAAAAGTTCATGCACCTCACCTATCGAGCGCTATCGCCACCAAATGCAAGATGGACGCCGTGCAGCAGAGGACGTCGCTGGACGTCCACATGTCACACAGTTCGGGTCCGAGCGTCCATTGTCGTCCTACCTCGTAAACTGCACCTAGGGGCATTACCAGGCAAGCCACGAGGAGATCCGCCACTGCCAGAGACAGGATCAAATAGTTGGCGACATTTTGTAGGTTGCGCTCCAACAAGATGGCGGCTATCACGAACACGTTGCCTGAAAATGAAGAATAACGAAGGATAAGTCTCAGATTATGGAGAGACCTGTACAGGGTGATTCGATAAGAATGGTCAATTTCTGAACTACAGATAGTAAACACCAAACTATGGAGATTTATAGTCGAATATTCAATTTGAAATTTTGCCTGCTTGTAGTTGGTGTTGGTGTCAATCAATTATCAATTACTGTTTTTTCGTCTTATTGTTGAAATAATGAAAATTGTATACACGTGAAACGCAGATCTTTTCGTGAGAGAATAACGCTATTTCAGTTCCAGTCAGCTGCTTATGATCTATAATGCACCGATCCGACCTGTCCTGGAATACTGTCTCCATATTTGGAGTGCAGCACCCAAACATACCCTGAAACTGTTGGATTCTGTCCAAAAAAGGGCAATTCGTCTCACTCACTTCTCTGGAACACCGAAGAAAAGTTGGCGATCTGGCTCTATTTCATAGATATTTCCATGGACGATGCTCTTCTGAAATATCAACGATTGTTCCTCACTTGGCAGTCCCCGCGAGATCAACCCGTCGAGTTGCGGCTTCGCACCCCTTCGTGGTCACTTTGGAGACTTGCAGCATCTCTTTCCAAAGAACAGCGAGGTTCTGGAACACATTGCCAAGGGAGGTGTTTCCCGAGGCATAGAACCTCCAGAATTCAAGAAGAACACCAATTCCTACCTCATTTCTCTTGGTTCTCACGATGTTCTCTGAATATTACAGGATATCCCTTTTCGTGGGAACCAGAACATAAAAAAAACCGTTTCGAACGAAAAACCATTTTCCATGTAAAATTGAACAGGTTGACACTTCTATTGTATTCCAAGTAGTATTCAATATAGACAAAGAAGATATGTAATTTGCTAAAGTAATGTTGGGTTCTCTATAGGCAATCACAAAATAAGTTACAAATTCAATGGAAATGAATACTCAAAGTCAGTCCACCACAGTTTATGTAAAAATTTGTCAATTTAACAGTAACCGGTTTCGACACAACGGCGATCATCAGACTGCATTACCTAAAATACATGATGAATGTAGAATTGTGAAAATCAATTGTCACTGGAAAAACAAACCTGATGAAGACATAATGAAACATAAAAAGTTAAACATCATTGGGCTGACATCAAGGTAAGTCAGGTGGGAGTAAGTTTGAAGCGGCTGAAGAGCCAGAAAAATCTTGCCCTGATGTGCATGGTTAAACATTGATAAACTATGTTTCTTTTAAAGTTCAAATCGTTACATGTTGACTGGAAAAAATTTATTTAGAGAATGAAATAATAAAAATTGACGTGACATGACCAGATGCCAAGCTGACACAGAAAGTAAGTACCGAACATCATATATAAAACATCACTGATGGTGTATGACCACTTTGAGTATGTATGATTTCTACGATTTCAGTTACAAATTCATATTTCCTATGTAAGAAAACATCAATCTACAAAACTTTATGTCATCCTCTCCAAAACTAGCAACATTTTCATTTTTTTTTTGTTTTTATTTTTTTTTTTTATCGCTTGGAGCGCACGAAAGGGAATCCCTATAATGTTCAAAGAACATCGCGCGTTCCTAGGGAGGATAGGGACAGGAGGTAGGTATTGGAATTTTTTTTGAACTTTTGGAGATTGTATGTTGATGGGAATACTTCCACAGGCAATGAATTCCAGAGCCTAGCCGTTCTATGGATGAAGGAGTCTTGATAAAGTGCTGTTCGACATCTTTCGAGGTTGACAACGAAAGGATGTGCTGACTGGGCTTGTCTAGTTCGTCTGATTGGTATTTCTAGTGATTAAGTATTATCTGTAGATCAGAGATTGCCCATTCTTAATGAATCACCCTGTATAGAAGTTCAGTCAGTGTGGAGAGATGAAAATACCTTTTTTTTTCTGACAATCAACGAGAGTCGTATGTAACTCAAAGAAATTCGAGATGATTCTACTTGCCCTTATATTGAAAATATTGTGAAAAGGGAGGTACTTCTCAAAAAACAGAAGGTTTTCCTGTTCATTCGAATTCACGAAATTCCTATCTCGAAATTCTCAAAAATGTCACAGGTATCTGATTTGGCGTGAGACTTTCTGTAAAAGAAAAAAGTATATTTCGTCGCCCTGTAGTGGACGGAAGTGGGTATTTATCTTCGAACTTCGCCGCTAGACATTATGATGGCTGATGTAAGCTTGAAAAATACGTTTAGAAGTAGTTAGAGCAACTTGGTACTGTATCAAGTCAACACATTATTATATCATCGGTGGAAAGCCAGATAAATGGCGTTTTCAACAAATATAAAACATTTCATTCCCGTTTCTTTCGGAAAGTTGTGAAAGATACCATTAGGCATGTCCTGTATCCTCTTAAATATGTAAGTGCTTTCTTCTCTCAGGTGTGATACAGTAGGAACTTTCTTAAAGGAATCTCTCCTGAAGTTAAGAAAGTTTTTCCAATGTATCTTGAGATATTTATGAAAAATAAATTATGAAAGAACAACTTTTCTCCCATTAATCATTCTTGAGTTTCAATAAAAACAGAAGAATGTCTACTTCACATTCAATTATTTACGTCATTTGGTCTTCTATCAAAAGAAATGATTGAATGTTTATTTTTATTTGCAATTGATACAAATCATTTTGACATCGAACAGATTACATCACCCAGTGAATCTTCCAGTCACGATGATACTAAGAATCACTATCTGACCGAATATCCCTCTAATATTGACACTTTGTTTGTTCATATTATCTCCTACAGTATCAATACCCTACACATATTATAGCTGGAAATGTCATTTGGTACTTATATGCACGACCAGGTGTAAAGAAGCTTTTTAGCGCCCGGTTTTGCGGTTTTGTAAAGTGCTAACTCCTAATATAAGCATTTCTGTAAGAATTCGGACATCTATGTTTCAGTGGTAATATGTTTCTGTTTCTCTTGATATTTATGACATGCAAAGTGATATGTCAGATTTGATTAAAAATGCGTAGCTTCATTATATGACCTTCGATCCGAGAAATTACAAAACCATTTCGAGGTCTGACCAGACATCCTCATGGCGAAGTGATACTCCATTATTTCACTATTAACACAGAGAAAATTATAAGAGAGAGAGAGACATTATCTGTTCAAAACGGTAAGGTGACGACAACGATGCAATTCTACTCCCATTCAATTATCACCCTGTAGCAATGTAACCTAAAAGTGCAGAGGTTTCATATTGCCACAACAAACTGTCAAGAGATTAGGCTAATCATCAGTGAAAACCGATTTCAAATTGGTAAGGGAATTCTTGAGTTATTCTACTTTGCATTCTGGCTATATTTTGGACGACGACGACGTTATCAATGTTGACCAGTTTAGTAGGCTGTGACTCGAAATTCTTGTGAATCTTTCATTGTTTCAGTGTAAACAATGCCGTTAGTCGATGCGTTTTTTCAATACTTTGCTGTTTCAGTATCAGAGGCATAGAGACATGGACGTATAAAAAAGAGATATCAGTCAGTTATTGTTTCGCGTTATGAAATTCAGCAATGGACAGAAATAATTGATATAGAAGGATTGAATCAATGAATATTTTATTTGTTGACACTAGTTTAGAAAACTGATGGTGTTTATATAGTGTTACGTGAGTGATGAGTTGATAACAAATTATATATTTATGTGGAAAATACCTTCAGTTCTTCTGGTGCAAAACATGGGGAATGATATATCGGAAAGGTATGTTTTCTGATTATGCATATTTGAACCTACCTATTTACGTGAGAGCATGAAGAAGCTTCCCATTTCACGATAATTATTGAGACATGTTTTGAGGTCATCACCAAAATATCTTTGGTTTCCCCTCAGATTTTCTTTTATAATGTTTCTATTGTTGAGTTGGTCTGTTAGTCATTCTTTCAATTACCCTTGGCTAATGTGCACAGTGTGTTTCTGTCTAAATACTTATTTTGATGTGATTATCTGAATATTTACTAATATTCAAAATTTGAACTGGTATTAGGTACAGGGTGATTCACCATAAATGTCCCCCCCTCTAGCTCACTTATTTTTGAACCGATTAAAAAATTTTAACAATACCTAATCTGAAATGATTTTTCAGAAATTTTTTCCCGTTGCATCAGAAAATACAGGGTGCTCGGAACAAACTATCTACAGAGTACTACTTGATTTTTTCAAATGGAACACTCTGTATTCCATTATCTTTTCAGATTCTTCCTGAAGAGCTGATTTCATCAATATATCATACTTGGGGTCTAGCGGGAATGATTACAGAGATATAGAGGGTGTTCAAAAATCGAGATTTTTCAACTTTAGGATTTTTTTGTGTCGAAACTATTCATCATTGGTCAAAACGGCTTCCATGTTCCTATCTCAACTTTTGATTTACTATATCTACTGACATTTAATTGGAACATTTACTGGGTGGTTCAAGATTGAGAATTCTGATCACCCTGAATATGTTCCAATTATTAAATGTCAGTAGATAGTGAAGCCGTTTTGACCGATAATGAATAGTTTCGTCACAAAAAATCCTAAAATTGAAAAATCTCGATTTTGAACACCCTTTATCTTTGTAATCATTCCCGCTAGACCCCAAGTGTGATACATCGATCAAATCAGCTCTTCAGAGAAAATCTAAAAATACAATGAAAAATAGGGTGTTTAAAAAAATCGAACAGTACCCTGTAGATCGTTTGTTCCGAGCACCCTGTATCTTCTGATGTAGCCGAAAAAAACTTTATCAAAAATCATTTGAGATGATCTTTCGAATTTCAAAATCGGTTAAAAAATAACTGAGCTAGAGGGGGGATATTTATGGTGAATCACCCTGTACTATACATACTATCTCATGTTATATTTTTCCAGATAGGAACGATCGATATTTTTGACAGTGAAGCAATGTTGGCTTGATTTTTGTCACTATATTATTTGAAATTATGCATTCGGTGAAACTGCACCTATCATGCGGTGTTTTTTTTTTCGAAAATTTTGTTTGGTATTTTAGTCTGAAAAACACGAATTTGATAATGAAAATGTGACCAAACCATTATTTCACTATAAAGTAACGAAGTTCACCTTTTTTTCCGCCTGTCTTTTGGATCGCATTTAGAACAATCCGCGCCCTTCTCTTTTCATCATTAGA